CAAGTGAAAATTTGCACACTAGAGGGCAGTCAAATCAAGAATAGCTGTAGCTGTGAAAGGAGGAAAGTATCTATCAAAAATATATTTTAAGTGTAGGAAAATATTAGATTTATTGTCTGAAATATTTTTGGTTCTAAATCCTAAAATATATGTTTGAAAGCTACATGAAATATTTTTGGACACCAAACACTGTTAGAAAAAAGAAGGCTTACGAAAGCAGACAAATGAGAGCATATTTTTTCTGTATTTGTTTTAAACATATTTTTAATAAAAGCAACTAAAATGTAATAATTAAAACTTATTAGGTTATACAAGAAAAGTTAAATAAAAAATTTCTTATGACTACTCATCAAGGAATGTAGTTGGACTCTGTAACCTGAAAACTTTCTTTACTGCAAACACTCCACACTCCCTCTGGGTGATATATTGCTTGCCATGGTAGTTAGATACATTCAAAGAGCATTAAAATTAAATGAAAGCTTTTAAAATAAATAATTCTAATTGTGTGTTACAATCTGCAATTATTATATAAAATAAAAAACAAAGGCATTTTTAACTTTATATTTTTCAACTTTCTCTTCAGATGATTTTGTTACAGTTAATGTTAGGATAAAGAAAGTAAGAAATATAGTATAACGTTTTAAAAAAGACAAAAAAATTTTAAATTCATTTAAGGAGTTCTAGAGGTATGCAAATGAAATATGGAAACTAAAATGAAAAGAAGTATTTTTGCTCTTAGCATGAAAATCACTTTTCACTCAGACTGGCTCAGAAAAAGCTTTGTAAATTCACAGACAAGTCTTTAGTAAAAATACTTGATTAAAAAAAAACAGAATTTTTTCATACAACAGACTTGTAATGTTTACTATAAGCTTCATGATACACTCAACACTTTCAGAGTTATAGTATGTATAATTCCATGGTTACAAGGGTGATTAAAATGAGAAAGTCTGTATATAGAGAGTTAATATACTTACGATATTTTCTATGCCAAGACAAGTTTTCACAACATATAATAATAATTGATTTCTTTTGGCCCACTGAAGGAACTTTTATAAATGGAACACGAAGTAAAAACAAAATATACCAAATTTGTTAGACATTTAATTCTATGAGGTATTTTATTTAGAGTTGGTATATGTATGTATTATTAGATTTTATTATCAAGGTTATTTATTATTATTTTTTCTATGAATTGTTACAAAACTGTGATAAGACTAAAAATGGAATGTGTTGTGGTATGCAGGCGTATCATACATTTTCTACCTTATATTACTATAGCAATTAAAAATTATTTTATTTAGTCTCATTCTATGCAGTTTTTGCATAAATATGTGGCCCAGAAAACCATTTAGTTATTTTTGTTCTAATTATCCTTGTTCCTTTGTGGTTCTCTTATAGATAATATCTGTTTTGCCCATAGGCTTTGCTTGAACTTTACATGTTGTGAAAGTAGGTCAACAAAGCAATATCCTTCAGTGGCTGAGTAGATAATATCTAGAGGTTATAGCCGTAACTATGTTACATGAGAATGATCAGTCACATGTTGTTATGGGTAAATCGAACATTTCATTTTAAGTAAGAAACATTGAATTGACACAGTTCTACTTGGTTTTCAACATAAGTCATCAGTCAATGAAATGATATCCTAATAGACAAAATCTGTTGATTGATTCATAGATCCAGTAGAAGGTGACAACCCAGTGTCTTACCAAATACATTGACTGTATTTTGCCTTTTGAAAATATAAATAAAGATTGATTTTCACTTTATACCAAATGTCCAGTCTGTTTATTCTCTTAGCTAAATTTAGCAACTTTGTGATTATTCTGATTGATCCTCTGATTATGAAATGGATATATGTAATACTCATGTGGAAATCAGTTTTACCTGAAAATACCACATAGGACCATTCTCTACATGAATGTAATGATTTTTTTGAGAATATAAATGTGTTACATTTCCAGAGAGAACTTACATGTTTGATAGATGAATTTCATATACTACTCGTTTTGTTTTTGGTTACAATAAAATAAATTGTACTTAAAAAATATTGAAATTTTGTTTTAAAACTTCTTAATATTCAGGAAGCATTAAAACATTATGAGTAACGAATTGTGGTTAATTTGTGAATGGAGAATATGCTGAGCTCTTATATTATAATCAACCTCCTTCTATTCTTAATAGAATTTTAACTTGCCAAATCTAAGGCTACTAAACTGTGATAGGATGTATGGTTAAACAAGTGACTGTATACTCGACTATTGTTTGTAATCTGTGATAGGTCTTATGGTTAAACAAGAGACCAAGAGAATCATTATTCTTTGTAAATTGTGATAAGTTTTATGGTTAAACGAGTGACTGTATTCTCAGATATTGTTTGTAAACTGTTATAGGTGGTATGGTTAAACAAGTGACTATGTGCTTCATTACTGTTTGTAAATATATATATATATATATATGTATGTGTGTGTGTGTGTGTGTGTGTGTGCACTTCAGTATTGTTTGAAAACTGATAGGTCTTATGATTAAACAAGTGACTGCTTAGTTATTGTTTGTGAAGTGTGATAGGTCTTATTGTTATACAAATGACTTAGTTCATTATTGTTTGTAAACTGTAATAGGTCTTATGTTTAAACAAGTGACTGTATGGCTCATTATTGTTTGTAAACTGATAGGTTTTATGATTAAACAAGTGACTGTGTGCTTCATTATTGTTTGAAAAATGGGATAGGTCTTATGGTTAAACAAATGACCATGTTCATTATTCTTTGTCAACTGTAATAAATAGGTTTTATGGTTAAACAAGTAGCTATGTATGTCATTATTGTTTATAAACTGTGATAAGTATTATGGTTAAACAAGTGACTGTGTGCTTCATTATTGTTTGAAAAAATGTGATAGTTCTTATGGTTAAACAAATGACCATGTTCATTATTCTTTGTCAACTGTAATAAATAGGTTTTATGGTTAAACAAGTAGCTATGTATGTCATTATTGTTTATAAACTGTGATAAGTATTATGGTTAAACAAGTGACTGTGTGCTTCATTATTGTTTGTAAATTGTGATAGGTCTTATGGTGAAGCAAGTGACTATGTGTTAATTTTTGTTTGAAAGCTGTGATAAGTCTTATGTTAAACAAGTGACTGTTGATTATTGTTTGTAAACTGTGATAAATCTTGTGATGAAACAAGTGACTTTATGCCTGATTATTGTTTGTAAACTGTGATAAATCTTGTGATGAAACAAGTGACTTTATGCCTGATTATTGTTTGTAAACTGTGATAGGTTTTATGGTTAAGCAAGTGACTGTGCTTCATTATTGTTTGTAAATTGTGTGATAGGGTCTTATGGTTAAGCCAGTGATTGTTTGCTTTATTATTATTGTTTGTAAACTGTTATTCATTATTTTTTGTAAACTACGATAGGTCTTATGGTTAAATAAGAGACTGTGTGCTTAGTTCTTGTTTGTAAACTATGATAAGTCTTATTGTTAAAAACAAGTGTTTCTACTTTCATAACATTGGGCAAAAGTTACTTTACAGTTGGTAGTATATGGTGGTATAGCTGATTTTATATGGTTGGTGCCAAAGAAAATATTATGAAAACAATTGAAACCAATTTGATTATTGGTTTTTTAAGAGTTAAGATGTTAAAAGTTAAATTATGTTCCAAATTAAAAAAACTATTGTCACTTTTGCCCCACCTTGTATATTAGACTGAAAGGATAAAGTTAGAGTCAGTGAGCTAACATGTTTTGCTTGTGATGAAAGTTTAAACAATATCCTGAGTATCTGTGGGATAAATGTTACTAAATGACGAGAATATTATGGAAGCAAAGACTAAATATTTAGTACTGAAAAACTGTTGTAAGAAAAGATGTTTTGTTATGGAGTAGGAAGTAATTATAATAAGTTTTTTTATATTATTGTTCTGTTGTATAAATATATGTTGGTGACTTGTTGTTACACATTTGTCTGGTAGGTATCCTTGTTGTTTAATTTTTTTACACACATATGTAATGTTAAAAAGTCGGGATTTTTTTTATGATACAACAAAAATGTTAGTCTACTTAACAATGCAATGTATACTGTGGAAAGAGTATCAGGTATTGATTGAGGTTTCATAAGAGTCATAGTGAATTAAAAGAGTATATCAGTAACTTGAAATAAGTAGTTATTGATTTAGTATTTTGATATTAAGAAGCTGAAGACTTTGTCATGAGTACAACCCAAGGAATTTTGTAAACTATGTTATGTAGAGCAAGTGAGACTAAAGACAGTCATGGTTTAAGTTACAATTAATTTGAGATAACTCGTATTTTTTAATTTTTGAAAGAGGTAAAACATTAGCAAGTTGTTTTACTGACCTGTTGAGCTTAAACAGTTGTAACCATTTTATTACTTGTATATCTGTAGTTAATTATAAAAACTTTGTTTCACAGTAAACTTGTGAATTATTTGTCAAATCCCAAAACAATCCAATTGAAATTTTTGTTAGTTTTCAAACACTTGAATTTTAACTGGACATTAAATTTTCATTTTCTATTTAAAAAAAACAAAAAAAAACACTATTATTTTATCTGAGCCAGGTGTGCTGGAATTTGGATCTGTGGGTCCATTGGTTACATGCTGTTACCACAAAAATGAAAAACAAATTGTGCTCCACACTTTGAGGCTATGGGTGTGTTAGAAGGGTGATGATCAAATCCCTCTATTTGGTCAGACAAGAGTTGCCCAAACGTTGTTGGTGGGTGCTATTGACCAGCTGACTCTTCCCTATTCTATTAGTTTAAAACTATGAACAGCTAGTGTACACAATCTTCAAGTAGTTTCACAAAAATATCTGAACAACTTAATTTCTAAACATGTTGAATGTTAAAAATTTCATTTCAAAGTTCAAATTAATTATTTTCTATTTTTGGTGTGATATATACCATTAACTACTGTACTGTATTTTCTTTCATGAAGTTTATTTCTTTTACTTTGTTTTATTTAGATCAAAGATGAACAGGTTGATGAATATGCCTCAAAAGTGTCATCTTTAGAACGTGAAAAAAGACAGCTACAAAAGGAAGTAGAAAATTGGTCTCAGACAATGGCTCGTGTTCGAGAATTAGAAAGGGACAACAAGGATTTGTCTCATCAGGCAGCAATTCATCGAAACACCCTGAACACCTTAAGAGAAGTAGCTCATTCACATATTTTGTTCAAATTTAGACTGTAAGATTTGTTTTGTTTTTCATTTGGAAGCCAATATAAAATTGTTAGAAATTATACACTAACTAAAGAAAGAAGTAACAACTTCAGTGTCTTTTTGGTGCAATATTTATTAATATCAAAAAAAAAGGTTAGGCAGTCAGAAGATACCAGAAATTAGCCAGATTGTTTTTACCGTCTCCAAAGATTTATAAGACAAAGAGTTAAGGAAATTGTTAGATTTGGTTGTGCTAAGAAAATGAAAAAGTTACCTCTTAAGTAAAGCTTGAGCTGGAATACTTGATATTTAGAAAACTTAAGTAGTTAAAATGCATCTTTTGATATGCCCATTAGTTGGGATTTTATTTTCAGAGTTCTTTCCTTTTATTTTTGTCTTAAAGTATTTTGATGATATACAATGAAATGATATTTATATTACAAGAAAATACAAGAAACTTGCATGTGATTTGTCTTTTTCACAACTAGTCCAAATCTTGTATCAAATTTAGAATACAATGTATATACTAAAAAGAATATTCTCTTGTTTCTAGAAGAGAAAACAATTAATGTTTGAAACATTTTCTGATGAATTGTACAAAGATTTTTTTTCAGGACCTGGTAAGTGAAAAACTTAAGAGTCAGCAGATAGCAAGTGGTTTAGAGAGACAGTTGAACTACCAACAGAATGAAGATGTAGACGCTGCTTGTTCATGGTCTAGTCATGAGTGAGTCACAAGTTCTCTCTATTTAACTTATGATTAGGACAATTTAAAAAAAATATTTTTATGATTAACAACCATAAACAAATATGAATTACCAACACTTGTGTAATATTTAAAATTATAATAATTAATTAAAAACAACATTTACTATTTACACAATTAAAACTTTATTGGAGCCCTACAGTTTCCATTTTAAAATAACACTCTACATAACTTCTGAAGATGACATACATTACGTTGAAACTAGAACTTGTAGAGTGTTGTTTTAAAGTGGAAGCCATATGGCTTC